GTCTCGCTCTTGCTCAGGCTGGTCTCGAACTCCTGACTTGAGCGATCCTCCCGCCTCGGCCTCCAGAGTGCTAGGATTACAGGCGTGAGCCACCACGCCCAGCCTGCAATTTGCTTTTAAGTCTTAATAATTCAGCAAAAGAAATCCAAACGCACAGACATAACATACAAACACACACGCAGAGAAGAAATCACAGGACAGGCGACACGAGGTGACTCTGGGTGGCAGAGTCTGGGCGGCAGCGCACTGTGCGTTTCCTTCTTTTCTCTTGGAGGGGCTGAGAGCCCAGGGTGCCCGCTCTGGGGGGGGGGGGTGCGGTGCTGCTGAGCTTCTCCTCCCCAGAGACGCTGGCAGGACCCTCTTTGCAGGGTCTCTGGGAGACATGGGTGGGCGCAGGACCACCCCGGCCTCCCTCGGGGCACCAGCAGCCTGGCCCTCTCCGCAGCGCTCACCATCCGTTTTCTCAGTGAAAGATCTTTTCTTCCTGTATCTTATCGAGTGGTTCAAGTTCTTTCGCAGGTGGAATGTCGAACTCTGTTTCAACCGGTGTTTTCTTCGTGGTTTTGTCAGCATTGGTATTTGGTTGTTGTTCCACCAAACTAATACAAAGATGACACAGCGGGTCTGTCCGACACCCCACAGCTCCAGGGACTCGCTCCACTTCCACTGCCAGACCTGAGGGTTTACCCCCTAGTAGTCTGGGGGGGGACGAGCCGCTGTTCCCCCAGGGGGAAATTACCCGCAAGCTCCGGGGCAGACATCCTCCTCAGCCTCATGAGGGGGAGATTCAACTTCGAACTTGGATCCTCCAATTCATCTCTTTCTAGAAATCACGGCGAGAGTTAAAAAGAAAAGCAGATCAAACATGCAAGTGCGAAGTTTTAGGACACATCTTGACGAGCCACGCTGGGCGGCGGTGGAACGGCGTCTGAGAGCAGCGGGGCTCGGAGCTGCGTCCAGGACCCCCGAGTGGAAAGGACTTCCACAGTGACAACCAACACTGGTCCCTCCTTCCTCAGGGGGTGCAGCAGTTTCCCAGAGGCTGTGACATGTGACATCGCAACTGACTAATGATGTTTCAGAGAGGAGCATCGGGTGTAGGAGTAGCAGTGCTAAACCAGACCCTGCTACCTCTAAAAGCTTCATTAAATGAAGCTACTTTAAATGCATAAATATTAATTTTTAGCTTTTATTTATTTTATTTTTTGAGACAGGTTCGCGGCTTTGTTTCCAGGCTAGAGTGAGTGCCGTGGCGTCAGCCTAGCTCACAGCAACCTCAAATTCCTGGGCTCAAGCATTCTACTGCCTCAGTCTCCCCCGAGTGGCTGGGACTACAGGCATGCGCCAACACGCCCAGCTAATTTTTTCTATATATATTAGTTGGCCAATTAATTTCTTTCTATTTTTAGTAGAGAGGGGGGGTTTCGCTCTTGCCAAGGCTGGTTTCGAACTCCTAACCTCGAGCAATCCGCCAGCCTCGGCCTCCCAGAGTGATAGGATTACAGGAGTGAGCCACCACGCCCGGCCTCAGCTTTTATTTTTAACACAGTAAATACTGAAAGGTGTAACAGACAGGAACAAAAGCCCTTTGGGCCTTTAGTAACTCTTTTTGTTTTTTGGTTTTTGTTTTGAGACAGAGTCTCACTCTGTTGCCCAGCTAGAGTGCCATGGCGTCAGCCTAGCTCACAGCAACCTCAAACTCCTGGGCTCAAGCGATCCTCCTGCCTCAGCCTCCCGAGTAGCTGGGACTACAAGCACGTGCCACTACGCCTGTCTAATTTTTCTATTTTTAGAAGAGACGGGTTCTCACTGTTGCTCAGGCTGGTCTTGAACTTTTGAACTCAAGCAATCGTCCCACCTTGGCCTCCCACAGTGCTGGGATTCCAGGCGTGAGCCACCAGGGGCTGGCCTTCAGTAACTCTTAAGAACGTGAAGGTTCTCACACAAGCTTGAGGGTCACTGTCTTAAGAGAATCTCCGCAGGCTCCCGGCAAGACAAGGCAAGTTGAACTACTGGGTTTATCTTCACTCCTCATTAAACCTCAGCCAAAATGACTGCAAAGGCATAAATCCACATCACCAGGAGGGCAGCAGAGGGAGACAGTGGACAGAGGAGGCCGTGCAGTGTCAGAAGGTGGGAAGCCCGAGGGCACCTGACTGTGCACAGAGCCGGAGTGGGGGCTACAGGCGGGGGTGGGGGCTGTGCTTCCAGGCTGGAACAGCCTCGGGCCCAGCACCAGAACCAAATCAAGGCACGTCTCAGAAAAATTTCACATCATCAGAGTTTTCTTTCTTTTTTTTTTAATCTAAAAGCTTCCACAAACAGAAAACAAAAATAGGTCGCATTCAAAGGACTGGAATAAAAATGGCATCAGATTTCTCAACAGTGATGTTGGAAATTGGAAAACTATGGTCTGCCACTTTTGAAATTCTCAGCTACAGTTTATCTTTCTTTCAACTAAAGACAATAATATATGCTCCCTCCTTGAAAAAAAAAATGTGAATCTGAAAGACACACTCTCCCCGAAATAAAGAGACCCCAACGGCAACTGTGAAACAAGTCATCTATCTGTCTTCTAGCTGCTAAACCTGAGTTACTTGTGATGAGAGACTCTCTTACCATCTTCCAAAACGGGGGCGCTGTCCAAAAGCTCATACTCAGGGTACAGGTTGGTATCTTCTTCCATGCTGGCAGACATAATTAGCTACAGAAAAATTATTACAAAATATAGATCAACAAGATCAGAGGTTTTTTTTTTTTTTTTTTTTTTTTTTGTGAGACAGGCGTTCTCACTTTGTTGCCAGGCTAGAGGAGTGCCGTGTGACGTCAGCCTAGCTCACAGCAACCTCACGCTCCTGGGCTCAAGCAATTCTGGCTGCCTCAGCCTCCCGAGTAACTGGACTACAGGCATGCGCCACCCATGAGCCCGGCTATTTTTCTATATATATATTGTTGCCAATTAAATTTTTCTATTTATAGTAGAGAGGGTCTCGCTCTTTGGCTTTTTCCAGGCTGGTTGTTGAACTCCTGACTTAGGAGCAAAAAATCCGCCTGACTCGGCTCCCGAGGTGCTAGGAATTACAGGGTGAGCCACCGCGCCGGCCAAGAGGTTTTTTTTTTTTTTTTTTTTTTAAAACTGGACTTTGTTAGAACTAACAATTTCTCTTAAAAAGAAAGACATTAAGAAAATGAACAGATAAGCCATAGACGAGGAAAAAAATTTTGCAGGCAAATAATACTTTTTTTTTTTTTTTGAGAACAGAGTCTCACTTTGTTGGCCCAGGCTAGAGTGAGTGCTGTTGGCGATCCAGCGCCCCAGCTCTCAGCAACCTCAAAACTCCTGGGCTCAGTGATCCTGCTGCCTCCAGCTCTCCCTGAGTAACTGGGCTATAGGCATGTGCCACCATGCCGGCAATTTTTCTATATACTATTAGTTGGCAATTAATTTTCTTGTCTATTTTTTATAGTAGAGACGGGATCATCGCTGCTTGCTCAGGCCTGGTTTCGAACTCACTGACAGCTTTTGACCTCTGCCGCACGCCTCGGTCCAGAGTGTAGCATTACAGGGCGCGAGCCACCAGCCCAGCCGTGCAGCATGTAATATCTGTCACAGGTCTTGCACATTAAGGGCTCCCAAATATCAAGCCAGCACAAAGCCCCACACATCCATTATTTTAAGAGGCCGAAGATTTGGAATAGCCGTACAAAAAGAAGGTGACAGTGGCCACGGCAGCGTGAAACTCTGTGCAAACATCCATCGGTCGTTGGGGAAAACGCAAGTTAACACCACCAGTGAGACTCCACTTACACACCGACACTAGACGCGAAGGCAGAAAGCTGCTGACCTCAGCCACGTGTGGCAAGGGTGTGGAGCGGCCAGCGGCTGCGCGGGAGCTGTGTCCAGGTTCTACTGGGACCACTGGGCATTTCTCATAAACCACACCTTACCCGACGCGAGCCAGACAGCCCCACTCTGAGGTGTGCACCGAGAGAACAAAAAATGCACCCACAGAATAGCTTACAGCAGGAATTTTCAGCAGCCATTCACAATGGCCTGGAACTGAAAACAAACGCGCAGGGTGGAGAACGAACAAACGAAGGACAGCTCAGGACGACTGCAGGACAGAGAAGGATGAGCCTCAGGCATGAGCACAGCGCCGCAGGTGATCCGGAAACGTACCCGTCAGGAGGCAGACCAGACACAGCGCACACGCGGAGTCTGGCACGGGGCAGCACGCGATTCTGGGTGCGAGATGGGGGAAGCGGGGTGGGGGCAGGCTGCATCTTGCTCTGGGCTGTGGCAATCAAACCCAACACTCAAAGTCATTAGACCCTGGCCGGCAGTGTAGCATACACCCTGTAATCCATAGCACGCTTGGGAGGCCGAGGTGGGTGGATTGCTCAAAGGTACAGGGAGTTCGAACCAGCCTGTGAGCCAGACCCACTACTCAGGGGGGTAGGAGGACGGCCCTCGTCTAACTATAAAATAGAAAAAATTAATTGGCCAACTAATATTATATATATATAAAATTAGCCGGGCATGGTGGCGCATGGCTGTAGTCGCCAGCTACTTGGGAGCTGAGGCAGGAAGGGTCGCTTGAGCCCAGGAGTTGAGAGGTTGCTGTGAGCTAGGCTGCGCCACGGCACTGCACATGCTAGCCTGGGCAACATAAGCAGAGGACTCTGTCTCAAAAACAAAACAAAAAAAAGTCATCAGACACTGAACAATCATGTGCATTTTACTGCATGTAATCTGTCTCAATAGCGATACAGACACAGCCTAAGGGTTCAGGAGACAATTTCTAAAAATATTCAGACATCATTCATTACACTTCAGTTACAGTTTTGGGAATCTTAGGAGCTGCCTTTGTGCAGCTCTTGGCGTAGAATCTTTTATGCCCAAATGTTGAAATGAAAGACTTTCACCTAAGAAACAACGTTAAAGACATAAGCCTTAATTTTTGTTGTGAAAATTAAATTTAATGTCTAACTTCCATTTATTTTCTATTATACCTTAAATATGTGATAATATGTGATTAGTTTTAAATGTCTATTCATCGCATTTTATGCTTGCACCATAATTAATACACAAAAGAGTTGATGTTAAATGCTCATAAATCAATGTACACATCACAGAAGCATACATTTTACATTGGGAATGTGCAGTATTTCACATTGAAAAGTGAGTAATTCCAGGGGAAACGTACATAAATGTTGCACCATGTATGAGATGCTAAAATTGTAGAAGAGCATGTTTTTCTTGCTAAACTTAGCAATTGCTTCAGAATACAGGCAGTCCCTGGGTCATGGGCCAGTGGGTCCTCAGAGTACCCGCAGGCTGGATTTGCATGTGACTCGGGCCCCTCCCTGATGAACAGCACATACAAGATAATAACAATAACAATACTATGCTATAATGGCTCATCTGTGGCAATAACATTACAATACAGCATAATACTGTAGTAATAATGACAATACTGTACTATACTGTAACAATAAGTTACAGAAACTATTCTGTTCTTTTTTTTTTTTTTTGAGACAGAGTCTCATGGCACTGGGGGGTCAGCCTAGCGTCACAGCCAAACCTTCCAAACTCCCTGGCTCAAGCCATCCTCCTGCCTCAGCCTCCGGAGAAGAACATAGGGACTACAGGACATGCGCACGCGTGCCTGGCTAATTTTTTCTTTATGTTTTAGTTTGGCCAATTAATTTCTTTCTATTTTCAGTAGAGACGAGGTGCTCGATTTGCTCAGGCTGGTCTCCAAAGTCGCTGACCTTAGGAGCGATCCGCCGCTCTCCCAGCCTCCCAGAGTGGCTGGGGAGTTACAGGGCGTGAGCCGCGCGCCAGGCTGTTCTGGTTCTTTTATTCAAAGCAGAACATAAAAGCAACTCATACAAAAGTTTACATAGGAAGATAAGGAGAAATGTCGAAAGAAGTATTAAGCCACTAAAGTTGCATCAACCACTAGGCTAAGAGGAACGTTACACCTATTTTGATCTTTGAGCAAGTGAATAATAACCTTCGCATTTGGACTAATTAATCACGACCGCTGCTCAGTGAAATAACTACCCATTTCACTGGGAGACTCTGCCTTTCCATCTGGTCGCTGTCCTCCACGCGACCCTTCTGGTAAACAGCTGTTCCGGCAGCCGTAGTGACAGAAGCCTGATTGCCTTCCCCCAGGAAGGGATGGCGTCTGAGACTATCTCTCAGTACATTCGTCCTTTCTACGCTCCTTTTCTGGCTGTGATCGCCTTTCGCTCGCTGCAGGGGGGCTCCTGGACGTGCAGTTGGACTTTCATTTGGAGGTGCGGTCATCTTAGGCGTAAGACGCAGACTCACACAATCGAATAAAAGTCAGCGGCGAAGTGACACCGTGCGTAGGCGACTGTGTACACAAGGAAGACTAGCGCACTACAACGCTTGCCGCAAAGCCGCTCACGCCACGCACATTTGTATTACGTGCGCGAAGAAGCTAGTCCCCGACATTATTAGTTTAATTCTTAAATATAGAATTAATCCCCATGGGGGGGAGGAGGGGAGGGCGAAAAAGCCCACCTGACGGCCACAGCGAACGCTCATTGCGGTAGGATGGGCACAGTTGCAGCCAGAGACCAAGCATGGCAGAAGATATCCGGCGTAACCAAAGAAACACTTGCGCCCCCTGTAATATTTGGAACAAAATTTTTAAGAAAGTAAATAGTTAATTATCACCATATGGGAGCTTGGGAGTGCCTGCAAGCACCAGGCACGCTGTGAAGTCGCGTCGCCCATAACCAGGGACCGGCCTGACTAATTCACTAAAAATACTTTTCAATGCTAACAGTGTTTCTTGGATAAATTATTAAAAAACAATCGGGGGAAGGGGGAAGGGGAAGGGGAGGGGAAAAAAAAATTTAAGGATACCTAATCATGAAAACTAAAGGAAAAAAAAAATCAATGCAGTAATTTTATTTTTTAAAAGTTTACAAAGAAACAGTGTGCGTTGGAGTCCCGAGAGGCAGAATTTTAAAAGGATTTATCTTGTAAAGTGCTGATAACGTTCATTCCCAACGGGAAGGAACCGACCAAACCTACTGGTCTCCGGCTAGCAGAGGTTCACAACATATTTGTAAAATTGCTCGCACCTGTTCTGCTCTGCGCTGGCGAATGGGCCGCGGCCTTCACAACGTGGCATGCATGGACAACTGCGGTGGATGGACCAGTGCCACAAAAGGTGGCCCGTGAGCGCACACCAGGTCCACGAAGCGGTTCCCTTAAACCACTCGCGCCTCGGATGCCAGCTCAAGGGGGGCGGTTCCACGCAGGCCCTCACCCTGCTGACCCCTGAGTCCCTCACTCAGAGCAGCTGAAAGATTCATTTTTTCGACACGAGTGGGATCTGCAAAGGACGATGGAGATGGGAGAAAAAATACCATGGGAACAAAAGAGCAGCTGAGGCCGGGCCGGTGGCTCACGCCTGTAATCCCTGCTCTTGGGAGGCCAGGAGGCGGGGCGGATTGCTTCAGTTCAGGGAGTTCAAACCAGCCTGAGCAAGACTCGTCTCTACCAAAAAATAGAAATAAAATTAATGACCAGACTAAAAAAATAATAATACAAAAAGTTAGAGCGGGCATGGTGGCGGCCTGCCTGTAATCCCAGCTACTCGGAGACTTGAGGCAGAAGATCCACTGAGCCCAGAGAACTGAAGGTTTGCTGTGAGCAGGCTGACGCAACGTGCA